GGTTCGTCGCTGTAGACATGGGGATCAGTCTGTTCAGCGGCTAATAACAAAGTGGGATGCTCTTCTAATTTCGGTTTATTGTGGCTTTGTGTCGGAGCAGCGTGTCTCCACGGTTATCCCTAACGTTCTGAACGCAGAATCTATGCGTATCTAGGTGTCAGCAGCCAGCCTGTGTGCGCAGCGTGGAGCTTGTTGATGTCAAAGCCCAAATGCTGAATGTTCAGATGTGAAATTCCCTATTTTTGCTCCCGAAGTTGGATGCAACCTTATCCTTTATGATACAGATAACCTTGCATTTGGTCTACAGTGTGTTGGAGTAAAAGAACTTTGCTTTGCTTTGATATTAATGTGACATACATCAGGCTCTGTACTAAAGGCATTATTAGTATTTAGATTTCTCAGAATAATATGTGAGCCTTGGTTTTTGCTGGTTTCTGTTTTGTTTTGATTGGCTTTTCTACTTTCTTTGCTGGACACAGCTGTTGCAGCAGAGACTTTTTTTTCTGACCAGATCCTATATGCCTCTGTTGAAGGTTAGGGTTGTTGCAGTGGAGCTTTGTATTGGAGTTTTTCCCAAATCTGATCAGGCAAAATCAATCACTGTAATGTAATCTAAGTGTGTTACTCAAGGGAACTTAAGATATTTTTGAAAATACTTATCTGCCACTATTTTCAGGAAATAGCAATGTGAGGGGAAGGGAACAGAACATCTGGATCTGAAAGAATATATTTGGATTAAATGGCAGTATTGTTTTTTGGAAGCCCATATGAGCGGGAATAAGTCTTGAGTCTCTTCAAATAACTCTTTTTGTCATGACAAACTGATGATGTTCTTGTTACCTGAGCTTGGGTTGGGGTTTGGGTTTTTTTTCCCTTTTGATTGGTTTTTTTTTTCCCCGTGCTCAGCCAGTAAAACTTACATGGGGTAGGTAAAGAACTTAAGTTCTGGGTTTTTTGTGTGTCATGCCTGTTTCCTGTGATTAAAATGGGCGAGTGAAAATAATAGTTGTTTACTCAGAAACATTATTTTAAATGTATTGCCTGAAACAAGGGAAACACTTTTGTCATGTTGATCAGCACTTGTTAAAAACTGCATATTGAACTTAAATATTTTTATGTCTGGGTTGTTGGGGTTTGTTGGTTGTTTTTTTTTTTTTGCTTTTTAGTATTTTAAAAACAATAAGCAAAAATTTAACAGGTGCCAATTGATAGCAGTATGGTACTCTGCATTTTTGTTCATGTATTTACTCCTAAAAGCAGGATGAATCTTGAGGGTTGTTGGTCAAGGTGTATCACAGAGGAAGAGGCCTTTTTATTACTCATTGATTGGTGAAAGAATCTTGAGCATCCCTATGGGATGGTTTGCTTGAGAACATGTTTGAGACAAGGAAGAAGCTGTTCTTGTGAGCTGGGTCTAGACAGTATTGCCAGGTGTTGGGGAGAAAACAGGCTTTATTGCGTAGTCTAAACATAAGTGCTATTCATCATTGTGACCAGTTAAAGATTGTATTCTGGCAGCCCAAAGCTTACATGATATGCCAGTCTGCCCAATTCCTGTATTGCACCAATAGTTCGGGTACTTAGGCTCTTTCTCTTGACAATCAATGTTGTCTATAGGGTGCTCTAGGTAGGTGCTAGAATGCTTTGTTCTAGTTCTGAAATCAGAATTGAGACCTGACTTAACCCGACTGTTGGGAGTAGATAGTCCCTCTGGCACAGGCTTTCTCTGATGGTGAGAATGCCCACTGCCATTGTTTTCTGTCTACAGTTTGGTTTCTTTCTATCTTAAAAACCAACTGAACAAAACCAAAAATTATTTAGCTGGGGTCTTGGGGTTTTTGACCTATAGTGCTGAGTTGCATATTTTGTACCCTAATTTTCTTCTGCTGGGATGCTGAAGCAAGAAAAACTTTCACAGAGGAATCATCTTTAAACTGGAAAAAGATGAGAAACTATTGACTAGAGAGAGAAGCACCATATTGTAAGTTTAAGTTTACAAGCAGGTCATGGTGCTATGGTTTGGTATGTTGAAATTTTGGGAGTAAAGCAAGCTGAAATGCTTCGGTTCCTGTGGAGCTGGACAGTTAATAGGCCTGTGTCCTTCTAAACTCCATGACTCCTCTGCTTCCTGAATTATTCAAGAATAACTTGCATCCAGATTTTGACCTTGCAACCAACTTTTGCTGGGCTTGCCATGATCAGTAGATATTTCTAAAAGTTGTAAGGTAAAAGCTAATTGCAGTCTTTTTTCTAATTATTTACTTTTGTGTTTAATTTGTTATGCCTGCGAGCTGCTTTCATACACAGAGAGAGGAGTTAAGGAAAGAATGAGAGAATACTGAACACCTGAAACGGAAAATTATTCTTGACAACTGTTACCCTGAAGTTTAAATTGTATTTTGTTTCAGTTCTGCTGTTGTACTTCCGAAAAACATCGTTTAAGTTAGAGAAAACTTACCTAGTTTCTAAAAAAGCTTACAAATGGAAGCAGGAGGGTACTACAATTAAATTATTCACCTGATCTTTCATCAATTTAAGAAGAAAATTTCAGAGTTATAGACTCATCTGGCTGCTAGTACCTGTAATTAATTGGTTAGAAACAGTCATGATCATTATATTCCCCTGTGGTTTGTACAGTAGTTTAATGCCTTCTCTGCTAAATGTAAAGCTTGTTCTCTATTTGCCATGAAACTTCTAAAATAGGTAGTTTCCCAAAATAAATAGAAATTTTCCTGGTGATGACTGATTTCTGATTCTCTCCTTCATCTCTCTTCCCCTGCATGTATGAAAATAGCTCTGGAAGTTTATTTCTGTAACTTTCTGACAAATATACAGTCAGAAAAAAGTATGGTAGCCATGGGTCCTCCATGGCTGGCACCTGTGCAGAAGGATAGCATTTTGGTTAGAAAATGAATTTGTGCATTTGGTGGTATGTAGGACAAAGTTGTACTGTTGCTGTAAATGGTTGTGTGTCTGCTTATCACTTTAGAAATAAATAAAGTAAAATTGGTTGAGGTTTCTGGTCAGAGGTACCTAACTGAACTTGTAACCTGCTTTGAAAAGATGTTTGTGTGTGTTTGTTGTCCTTGTGCTGCCTTTAGTGCTTGTTATCCCATTTCAGTAGTGCAGGGAGAATAATTGGGCAGAACGAATGAGATGACCCAATGAAGAAAATCTCAAATTTCCCACTAGTCTAGCAAGATGCATCAGCTCAGCAAGGACTTGAATGAATGCTGGAATTGGTGTCAGGAGAGTAGTGGGAGTTACATAGCTGTAGAAGGAAAGAGGGAGATTAGATCGCCACCTTCTTCTGTTTGGTGGCAGTGAGCTTGGACTTTGTCTTGTCCAGCTGCATCTTGTGTGGTTTGGGAAAATGAATGGTGGCATGGGAAAGAAACTGAAATAAGGGGAGGGCAGGGTGTGGATTTTTTTTATTTTGAAAAAATATTTGCTAATGGTCTTATTTTGTAATAGCTCAACAGGAGGACTTAATTTTGGAACTCTGGGCTCTTCCACTGCTACGGCAACTACATCAGCTCCGTCAGTAGGCTTCGGGAGTAGCCTTTTTGGATCAAAATCAACCACTGGCTTTACACTAGGAGGCACCAGTACAGGTAGAAAAAAATACCATACAGCAAAAGTTTGACTGAACAGTGAAGAAATATATCATGTACACAAAAACTGGGTCATCATAATGTGCTTGTTGGTTTTGTTTGGTTTTTTTTCCCCAGTAGTTCTGTAGCTCAGCATGTTACTTGTGTGGCTTTTTAAAAAGGCTTCATTGGACAATTTAAAAGCCCAGACATTGAGAACTCTGCAGTATGAATGCTGCAGAAACACAAATGCAGTTATCAGAAAACTATGCCTGGGTCTATGTGTAAATTGTTCCATAATTTGAATCCTCAAGTTTTCTAGAAATCCAACTCTTCATGCAGGATGTTCAAAATTAAGATTTAAGATTGAGGTATATTTTGATCTGAAAAATACTTAAAAACATTGTGAGATTGTTAGTATTTGTAATGTGATGTTTGTAATCCTGCAGTAGTAAACATTTCTGGGTTTGTGTTTTGAGTATTTCAGTGTTAGCTTTTTGCATGAAGAAATTTATTCATATTAGGCCTCCTATTCAGCCTATGAACATAAAGGTGTATTGGAGTGCAAAAGAATAAAGCTTTTCTGACTGGGGGTATTTGTTTCAGCCATCACACAGACTTAATAAATTTTACTTTGGCGCCAATATTACTAGACAAAATGGTCTTTTATTCTTGTGCACTTGTGTGAGTATACAAGGGAAGTCGTAAGAATCAATCTACTAGAAATAAATTCAAAAGTAGGCTGACAGCTTGTATTACTGTTTGGCTCCATTGGGGGGTAATTTTCTTTTAGCTCTCAATGATTCTTTTTATGATCTAATCATATGTTTTTTAAAATACAAATGGCATAGCACTGTGTTGAAAATAATATCTTTAAATTACCTGTGGGGCAGAAACCCTAAACCAAGACATGGGATTTTACAAAGTCTTTGGACTCTTTAATCCTCTTCATTATACTGTAAATCTGCTGGTTTACATGCTAATGTTATGTACTGCCATATGGTTGAAAAAAAATATTGATAGAATGACTACTTTCCATGGTTTTGTTTACCTGTATTTGTTTGAAATTTTAAGCAATTGGCAGTACTGCAGTGTTAACATCAGCTTCACTATTAGCAGACTCTCATAATGAAAAATGATGGATTTTGAAGTCAGTTATGCTTTGATTTCTGTTGCTGGTGCTTACAAATACTGTTTTCTCTGATAATATTGTTTTGCTTTAAACATACCACAGGAAAGGGTTGTATAATGATCTACATATTGTCTCATAATGTTGCATTATTTCGTAGTTTCGTTTCATGGTTTTTACTATCATAACTGCTCTGTTCAATTACTGTTCATATTCTGTTTATTCTTAAAGCAGGAACAGCAACAACTATTGCTACAGGACTGACACTAGGTGAGAACCTAATTTGGATTTTAATCTTATACAGGGGGAAAAAAAATCAGCTAGATCTTTCTTGTAATGTAGAAAGTTAGTGGTAATTTGAGCCTTTTCCCCATTACTAACTGCAGTCTGCTTTGCTGCCCAGATGTTAAGGTTGCAGACCAGAGTGGAGCCCTACAGTCCTGTTCCTTATTAAAGGATTATTCCGTTCCTGTACAACAGTGATAGTGGTCATAGTGAAAAGTTAGACTTTGTATTTATGTCCCCCTAATGAGTTTCATCCTTCAGCAGAGGGGAAGTGGAATACGTTACCAAAGAATTCTTCATATAGAATTTCCTGCTCTAATGAACTTTGTGCAGACAGGTCTGGTTAGCAGAATAAAGAGGGTTGAACTGGGAACAAACTTTGAGAATTTTACTTTTGTTTCTCTGATACATCTTTAGCTGTCATTAGAAATACATGAGTAGTTGTGGGGTTTGGTCTTCTTCTTCTTAAACACCAGCAGCTGAGGTCTGAGGAGAAACTGAGCTTGAGTATCACAAATGGTGGGGGTGGTTCTACAGGACAGACTGCAGTCCAAGAACTTGGGAGGCCATACTATGAATAAATAGGAAAAAATAGCATTGGATAAAGAAGCAAATGAAATGGGCAAAAGGGAGGAGCAGCTGCTAACCCAGAGCAGTATGTGTGATGCATAATCATATGTGGCAATCAGTACTATGCAGATGAGCATCAGTTCTTTTCAATAGCTGAATGAAATGATGTAATCCAAATCAGACAGACAGCTGTTACCGAGAATGCTAAGTATGTGTTTCTTGCGCATGCTGTTGTGGTTTGTGTATGTATATGTGCACTCCTCTGTTACTTTGGAATATGGATTCTAGAATGTAAAATGTATTCTTACCATAAAAGCATCAGGAAGTGGAAACTTTATTTGCTTTACTTTTAAAATGTTCAAATGCAAATTTGAGGGCATAAGATCTCACATTTTTCTTGTTTACAAATTGTCAGGATGTGTGCATTCATTTATATACACATCCAATGGAGAAATTTTAGGCTGTATTTTGGGAAGTACTGTTCAGAGCTCCGTTTACCAATATTTGGTTCATCTAGCAGATGCTCTTGGTGGAAGCTCTTTGTTTTTTTGGGTTTTTTTTATTTAATTTTTTAGATAGCTGTTAGATTTTTGTAGTTGCCAGTCCATGATTAAAACCTATTGGATCACTAGGAATCCTGGAGCAAAATTACCTGTGCAATTAATGTAAACCTTTGAGATTTATCTGAAAGTGCTGTGGGGATACTGTACTTGATGGAAGTGATCTTGCATGCTGTGGTTCTCATGATGGTTCTATGGGAGTAGTTCAGAAGAGAAGGCAAATTGAGCATTCATTCTCAAACAGGATGTTCTAACCAGTACTGGTTTTGGGTTTCTTTCAGGTACACCTGCCACCACATCAACAGCTACCACAGGCTTTAGTTTAGGTTTCAACAAACCTGCGGGTTCGGCCACGCCATTTGCTTTACCTGTTACTTCTACCTCAGCGGGTGGCCTGTCATTGTCATCTGCTCTTACATCGACTCCTGCAGCAGGTAAGAAAATGTTTAGGGGTTTGGGAGCTTTTTTGTTTGTTTAACAATAAAACTTAATGGTCAAACAGTTCTATGCTCTATATTTTTCTAGTATTTACATATTTCTGTGGTACTTCACTGAGAAAGTGTATTGGACTTCACTAGTTCTAAATTTGGGTACCCTAATACAGATAGATTTATGGGCAGTATATCATGTGATATAGGCAGCATATAATCTTAAATCATTGGGAGTGTAGCAAGAGCTGAATTGTCACGTAAAATCATTATTTTTGTTATTGCTAACCCCACTGAAGGTTGAAAGCTTCCTACTTGCACAGCTGAAAAGTTTGGAAAATGTCTACCTTTTGTAGATGGCCTGAAACGGTTACCTAGTAGTGGGAACAAAAGTTTTTCCAATGTAGTTCTTACACTGGCATGCACCTGCCACCATATTTGATGGCTGAACTGCACTGTGCATGATGGTAATTGAGACTAGGGTTCACTTTTCTTACTCTTACGAGTTTGCATTTGAGCTCAGCTCTCTGTGCACTCTGTACTTTGTCCCTTTATGTTTATTGTCTTTCTCTACTCAATTCTTCCCTATCCTTAGACTCAAACTACCAAGGAAATGTTCTCATATCATGTCTCATGTAAAATATTTTAATGCTTAACAAAACATTAGTATTTCAGCATTTTAATACAAAAAGTCAATAGTGCTTGTTAGATCTGTTATGCTGTAAAATATCTTCTGTGCCAGGCTCTAGATTATCTCATGTTCTGGAGGACTCTCAAAATTTTTATATAGTTGCAGATAAATATGGACTTACTGGGGTTATAATATTGTGGAACAAAGTAACGTGTAATTCAAAAGTCTCTATGGCTTTCTCTGGAAAATCTGCAGGAAATAAAAACAACACTTATTATCCAGCTATGATAAAGATGCTGTTCAGACCTTTAGGTTATTTCAGATTGCCTGTGAAAGTATTTGAATGCAGTGTCTGCATGAAGCTGTGTTGCTTTCTCTGCAGGAACTACTGGCTTTACATTAAATTTGGGTGGTACGACTGCTCCAACTACAACTGCCTCCACAGGCCTTTCCTTAGGAGGAGCCTTAGCAGGTTTAGGAGGTTCACTCTTCCAGAATACAAGCACCGCAGCAACAGGTAAATGTTATTTTAGTATTTTCCTTCTGTCTCAAAACATTGACATTAATGTATAATTGTTTAAGTTTATAATGTAAGATTTAATAGTATAAAATCTTACCACTGTCAAAGTGTAAATTTTAATAGTTACAGTTGAGAATAGTGTTGCTATCCATGGACAATAAAAAATGAAAGCTGAAATCATTGGCTTCTTTCTCATTCTTAAATTTTCTTGCACTTAACATGTTTTAAAATGAAAATGCAAGGAAATCTTTGTCATTGATCATAAATGAGAGAGGCTGGTGGTACACAGGTATCTCCTTAAACTGGAGAAGTTGAAAGCTATTTTGGTGGCTTTTGGTCTGAATAAAATTTTTAACTATTAGTCTTGTCATTTCATGGCTTCCTGTCTTTTTCAGCTCTTGAGGAAAAATTTGTTCTGCTGTGTGGTAGTCTTGGCAACACTGCTCTTAAATTCTATATGGAGCAGGAAGCAAAAAGATATTTAAGATGCTGATAATAAGTTAGCTGTCTAATTAGTTGCCTAGTAATGTGAGGAAATTACATAAAACACTTGGGTTCAGTTGTATGAAATTCATGTAATCTGTTTTCTCGGTTTAATTTGCATATATTTTTAATCCAAATGTAAATGGGCACTGAAACTACAGACAAGATTATATGTACTTTTAGTTTAAAATGTTTTAATTATCAACATTTTAAGTACAGAAATTCTGCTTGGGTTTCTTACAGGGCTTGGGCAGAATGCTTTGGGTTTGACTCTGGGTACAACTGCGACTCCTTCAACTACTGCCAGTGAAGGTCTTGGTGGCATTGATTTTAGTAGTTCTTCAGACAAAAAGAGTAAGTTTGTTTTAGAACTTTTTTTTGTTTTGTTTAGTTTTAATTCAGAAAGTTATCAAAGCACTTTAGCAAAGACATCGTATTAGGAGTGTGGAATTAAAGCTGACAACTTTAAACTTCCCCCTGCCCCTTTTAAGGCATTTCAGTTAATTTCATTCCTGATATTGTGATTGTGTAGAAAAACATTCTGGTCACAAATTTCATGTAACTTCATTTATGTAAAATAAATATAAACCAATATCGTACTTGAGAACTAGGATCTAAAGCCTTTAGCCTCTTGGAAGTGAAGACTTAGGGCCGTTTGCTGAAAAGCCATGGCAGATTTCTGAACGGCGGTATGTCAGATAGCCACTAGAGGGGGCAGCAGAGCTAGGTTTAACTATTGCATTGCAAATACGAAAAGGACTCGTTTTTAAACGTGTTTCTCAGACTGTAACAGATCTTTACCTTGGTTTCTTTTTTCAACAGCTTGCACAATAAAAATCTCCTGGTTTTAGCTGTTATTCTTCAAAGCTGTATTTCTGGTGGTGTGTAGTTCCATTTGATGCGTTCTACCCAGTTAAAACCAGTTATAGAAGCTTTACCTCTGTGGTAGCTTTGAAGAACTTAGCTAAGGGAATATTGAGCATTGACATATGTACAGTTATTAATTTATCTTGCTTTTATACTTCCAGAGTAAGCTTAGCTAAAGCTGATTCTAAAATTTGCATTTTCTCTAGGGGATCAATACTGTTAATTTAATCTCTTGGCACAGAAGCCAGATTTTAAACTAGGTGTACCAATGGTTGAAAGAGAAGGAAATCTAGAAGCTCTATGCAACCATCTTTACAGAGTAACCTAAGTTGCGGAGGCATTCTTCATACTTGTAGAAGGGATGGCATATTGACTGTCCAAACCAGAGTTCTCTGCATGATGTTTTTAGGTGCTGGAGTTTCATCATCCCCAATTTCAGTAATAAAAAGCTCCAATTCCTAGATTCTTACAGGATTTCCATTACTATATTAGGATATCACAATGCTTCCATAATATACAAGTACCTTAAAATGAGGACCAGAGAACAACAGACTCAAAATGTACTTAAGTATTGCTTTGCCCAGCTCTTAGGGTGGAAACTTAAATGAATACCTTAATACCCCATACGTTGCATATATAGGAGTGTTTCCCATAATGGATGATGCTGGCTTAAGCAGCCCTGACAAATATCCCTACCTGTGTGCTGCTACTCAGTTCTGTTGGTAGAATTGTTTGTACTGCTATATGAGGAACTGTGTTAAGGTTCGAGGGTGGTGATCTGGTGGTTTTGAGTTTCTTTATTTCTTTTCCTTCCTAAAGAAAGGGAAGGAGATGTGCCAAAGAAAAGTGCCCTAGGAATCCCAGGATGGATAGGGACTAGCACCTTTGTTCTCTCCTGGAACTTGTTGTAAAAGCTTTTCCTTCTGGAGTCTCTAGACTAACTGTCTAGTATTTCTTTAAAATATGGCTCTGTTATACATTTTTTCCTCATATTGCTAAAAAGAATGTATAAAACCCCCATAAAATCTGGAGTGCTTGCCCAGGAAGTAGCAAAATCTGGTTGCACATCTGATGTACAGCAAAAAAAAAAAAAAAAAAGGGGCTGGAAAGACAGAAAGCAAAGAATATACTTAGTTTTCTGTCTAATTTTTAGGTTATCAGTGGAGAAGAGAGACCTAAATTCTGGGGTTTAGCCTTTCCTCCTTCCAATTTTGTGTAGGTTCCCTCCTGCCCCCTTTAGCAGAAGGCACAGGGAATGGTGTGAGACTCCAGGCTCTCTCGTGTACTGGGTGATTGAGTCTGCAGACAATTGAAGTATATGATGTTTTTAAAAGTAGTTGCTTCTCTTGGCAGGAGCACTAGCTTGTGCAGTTTAAAATGTTTGTGGCACTAGCATTAGCTGCATAGCTATCTTCTGCCTTGGTGGCACTGAGAGGGAAGTGAGGATGTGAACTACATCCAGCTGAAGAAGGTGAAGCCCAGTTCTTGGGCTGAGTGAGTGCTCTTCCTAGCAGACTGCTACGGTATGGAATGTGATTACTGCCCATGGCCGTGACTAGAAATATGCAAAAGATACTGTGCTCTACATAATGTTGGTGTCAGCTCTGTTCTATTACTCAGAGGGAGTTGGCATCTTGATCTGCAGATGCATAGTTTGGAGTGTGTAGGTTGTAGGTAAGCAGTAATATCTTCAGTTCTGTAAAACCTCATTCATTACCGGGCTTAATGCAACAGCAGGAAAGTCCAATGGGCAAAGGTTCATTAGCTTTATATTTTAGAGAAGATTCAGATTGCTGAATTTAAACACTTTAATGTTTTGTGGGTGCAGGTTTAAGTGAGTTGTGGTTGCATAAGCAGGAACAGATTTCTTATGCAACTGCAGTTTATGCATTTGTAGTGACTTGCATAGTGACACAAGTTGTTTTGCATTACTCTGTGCCAAGAAATTAGCACCTCTGTTGAACCACTGTTTTTGACAAGATACTTATCTGTGAAAGGGGAGTAAATTAAGACCTACTTTCTTTTATGGCTAGCTTAAATCTGTTCCTGTTACCAAGAGAAATCTAGCAGATTGTATTCATGAGTTCTCTAAAATCCCAGTAAGGTTGTTTTGTTTATTTCTGACCTACAGTTTTTATTTTCTAGGTGACAAAACAGGCACAAGACCAGAGTAAGTGTCAGATGGTTTTTTTTGCATTCCATGTCTCATTAAAAACCAGCTAAACTACTTATGTTGGCTTTTCTACGACTTAGATCTTGAAAAGAGCATAAATGTAAATAACCGACTTTTGCAATATGGACAATTTTGTAATGGTTGTTCATTGTCTTAAACAGTGCACTTTTCCCATCAAATGCAATACCTGTATCTTGTTTGGCATCTGCTATAGACTGATCATGTGGTTTGAAAAATGGTTTCTGCAAATGTGTACAATGCTTACACCACAGGCTTGGACCCTGGCATAGTATCCAAATTGCTTCTAGTTGCGGCACACATGCAGTGGGTGCAAAACTGTAATCAGCTTGAACTTTTTCATATTTAATAGTCATGCAAAAATGTTTGGCAGTGTTAAACCATCATCTAACCATGCATTGTCTCTTGTAGAGATAGCAAAGCACTAAAGGATGAAAATCTACCTCCAGTAATCTGTCAAGATGTAGAAAATCTACAGTAAGTAGTGTGGTGTTTTTTTGGTTTTGGTTGGTTTTTTTTTTTTTGTGATAGTTGATTAGCTAAAGTATTGTATGCTGTCAATGCTCTGTGACAAAAACACCCTACTGCAGGCTGCACATAGGATAACTTACTAGCCCAAGGCCTTTTGGCAGGTTAAGCTTGGGAACAGACTACACAGTAGCTGAAATCTTACCCTGTGTGTTTTTTCAGTCTTGCTTTTCCAGACATTTATGCAAATGGACATGCTGAACAAATATGCTCTTAGAATCTGATCCATCTCTCCCTGGGAGTATTAAGCCTGTTGCACATGCATAGTATTATGTCCATGTTGCACGTGCATCATGGATCTTGTATGGAAAAGAGAGAACTGCAGAAGAGCCTTCCCTCAGGCAGGAGGGAGGCAGGTTGTAGACTAGTCAAAGAGACTGTATGTCACTGTATTTGTGAGCTGAAAGTAGTAATTGCTTTTACATAGATGCTACATATTATATATATATAAAATAATTGATGTATCTTAGTTTGTCAGGGTTCAGCATAACATGTTTTTACACTTGCTATTTATGTTTAGGATTTTTATTTTTGTTTTGATGTGTTTTTTTACAGTATTGGCACGCTATAGGAGTTAAGATGATACTGCATATGCTATACAGTAATTTTACTGTTCAGTACATGATTTTGGAAAAAATAATAAGTATTTAAATAATGTGTCTGAGATGTAAACATTTGGGTACTTCAGGCTCAATATATTATGTTTCCTTCTTCCCCACCCCTTTTTTTTTTTTCCCTTCTCCAGGAAATTTGTGAAAGAACAAAAACAAGTTCAGGAAGAAATTAGTAGAATGTCCTCTAAAGCAATGCTTAAAGTACAAGAAGACATTAAAGCTTTGAAACAACTTCTGTCTGTAGTTGCTAGTGGATTACAGAGAAACACTCTTAATATTGACAAGCTGAAAGTGGAAACTGCACAGGTATAACTGAATATAAATTTTGTTTGTAGAGTTTGTATGCTGATTATTTCATGTAGGATAACTAGACTTCTTTGTCAGTCAAGTTAACACATATGTCCAAAATAAACCAGTTGTAAACAAAATGAAAAACGGAATCTCTTCTAAGCCATTTGGAGTTACTGGGAGAGACCTAAATCTGTGATGTCAGTATTTTCAGATAAGTACAACAGCAGTGAAATATCTTAACTAGCACTAGTCTGTATCTAGTGAACTTGAGTCACACCTCTGTCTACCAGCCTTCATCTTAACCATGCAACCAGTTTGAGCTCAAGTTTTGATGCAAGTGCTTTTCAAGTTAAGTTTTGTACCATTTTTTATTTTGTCTGTTATGTATTTTATTCTAAAGTAAAATGTTTATTTTTTCTGTCTTGTGATACCAAAAGGAAATAGTCTATAATTATGTCTTGCCAACAGTTTTCTGTGAAAACAAAAACTTGTTAGCGATATTCTCATATATCTGTAAATGATGCAGTTCAGAGTAATCTCAGAACTGGGCACTGAGAAATTCTTAATGGTAGAGTTATTAGAAAGTATAAAACAAAAGGGGATGCTGTAATGATCAGGAATAAAAAGGTCGTTTCCATAGAAAGGCACGTCTTTGAACTAGTTAATTGTTTTGGGGTTTTTTTTTAAGGCAAAATAATTCTTTCTGTTGTATTTCTTTTAGATGTGTTATTTCCCTGCACTTGATATCACTTTTCTCCTCCTAGTCCTCCATAACTGTAGCAGGATTTCTGAAGTACAACATAAATTACATCTTATCTCTGACAATTTAGTGCAATATTTCCTCAGCTTCTGAGCTCAGTATGCTTTCATTATGTGCTGTTGTTCATTCATTCTCCAAACTTCTGTTGATATTTACAGTTCTCCAACTTCCTGGCAGTCTAATCCTTGAAGAATTTCTGGTCAGATTCTATCACAATGTTAACTTAAATGTATGAAGAAAATATTTTATGTGAATGAACAGTAGAGTTGTAGCGTGGTGGTTTTTTGTGTTTGTTTTTTTTAACACTTCATACAGAACCTTATCTTTTATTAACTTTTCCCTATTTATTTAGGAGCTAAAGAATGCAGAAATAGCTTTACGAACACAGAAAACTCCTCCTGGTCTCCAGCATGAAAATACAGCCCCAGCAGAGTGAGTTACTGTTATTCGTAACAAATAGTCACTAAGTGTAACTTGGAGAAGAGGGCACCTGGGGAGATGTTACTGCAGCTTTTCAGTACTTAAGAAAGGGCTTACAAGATAGCCTGGGACAGACTTAGTGGGACCTATAGCAACAGGACAAGGGGTTATGGTTTTAAAGTGAAAGAGAGTGGATTTAGACTAGATACAAGGAAGAAATTTTTTATGGCGGGGGTGGTGAAACACTGGAACAGGCTGCTCGGAGACATAGATCCCCCATCACTGGAAACATTAAAGATCAGGTTGGATGGGACCCTGAGCAGCCTGATATAGTTGAAGATGACCCTGCCCATTGCAGGGAGGTGAACTATATGACCTTTAAAAGTCCTTCCAACCGAAACCATTTTATAATTCTGTGATCTTCATAATATGAGTTTTTTCTGCTTCTTGTAACGTTTATACTGAATGCTTCATTGAATCAGTGTGTTATTTCTACATTTAATTTCTCTTTATCTCATTGACACGAGAAATACAGTCTCTACTCAACTTTCCACTAGCAGAGGGACTTCAAGAATGTCAGAACATAACTGTTGCAATTATTTAAATGAGAATTGTCAGCTGATACAGATCAGATTTAAAAAGTGGCAAAAAAAAAAAAGCTTAATCATATGATTTTATTGCTTTACTCATCTAGCTACTTCAGAATCTTGGTTGAACAGTTTGAAGTACAGCTGCAGCAATACAGGCAACAAATAGAAGAACTGGAAAATCATCTTGCTACTCAAGCAAATAACTCACACATAACTCCACAAGGTAAATGTTTCAATTTTAGTATTTCATACCTAAACATTAAGAAATCTTGTACCTATAAAAAACTTAATCTGCTTTTGTTATTGTTGGCTTTTCTTCTTTAATGTACAGAAATAAATGTTCAGATAGATTCTGCAGTTGCTCAATGTAAAGACTAAATTCATAAAGATTGTTGAGCTTTTTAAGATTGATCCAGTTTCTGAAGTGCAATTTGTAAGCCTGATTTGTTTTGATATCCACTATACCCATCTCCGTCCCTTCAGCAACTAGCTGTTAAGGCTGGTATCTGGCACCTCTTGTCTTGCATTGGGCTGTCTTGACCAGACAGATGTGGGTGTCTGCTCTGCCAGGTCTAGATCAAAATGGGGACTTTTCCTTAGTTTGGAGCCTGTTGGTATTGCCTTCAGATCTGACTGAGAAAATTTAGTCTTGTTTGATGCCACATTGTTCAATCTTGGGAGAATCTTTCTGGTCAGAGAATACTTAGTCTTCTTGTTGGTTACCATTCCTGTGATCATAGGTGTCTTTATTTTTTGGGCCATTGTAGGTATAGGTCCTGTAATAAGCAGTGATTTCAAGTGCATGTCTTTTTGTGCCAAATGAACAGCTTGATATTGACAGGATGGTACGTAGACTGTGGATCTTTTATGTCAAAATCCAGAGAACTGTCCAGACATAACTTCCGGAATGGAAGCCCTGTTGAATCCTGAGGGTCCTATATCTTCCCATGTGATCATCTTGTCTGTTCAGAGTATGAGAGGGATGCCTTCACAGGTTTTTCAGCAGTTTCTGCTATAATCTAAAGTTTCCTTGCTTGTGTGGGCAAGGCTCAATCTGTTGTGCCAGCACACTCAGGCTGCCAGCAAATGATGTAGTGATCTAGTCAACACTGCATTGCATATATAGCCTTTACCATATGGGAAACCATGACCCAGAATGTCTTGAAAGTTTTTATGTCTCATATCAGTATGTATATATACTATGTCTAGTATTCAGTATCAATAAATTGCCTCCAGACTCCTTGGAAACTAGTGGCCAGTCTTCCTAGATACCACTGCCTCCACTACCCTGCAAGTTGGCATGAGATTTATTCCCCAGCTTTTCTTTTTCAGAAAGAAATACAAATTATAATGGCAAAATTCCCTTATGAGGAAGCAGATCTTTCAGTTCAAGAATCGTTGGTAGTAGACCTATGCCATCTTCAAGAACTTGATAGCTACTATTTGCATTTCAGTAGATTTTATGCATCTTCAGAGGAAATGCAGAAGCTGATCTTTTCACAGTATAAAAACATTTCAGCACTTCTGTCCTTCAGCACTCTTCTGTCCTCCATTTCGGTACATTGTTTCAGTGGTCTGTTCAGAAAGGCTTTTTTTGTCAGCAGATTCTTCATTTTTGTCAAAATCTTTGAGATCTCCCGTTTAAATTTCTGTATTAGCTGGGTCTGACACTTATATCTGTTTGGGAAATAGGAAATAATAAATATTAAGACTTCATGTAGGCAAGAAGCTCTCCATTGTGTTTTTCTGATATGCTCATGGATAGAGCTAGAATAAGAATTCATGTGATGCATGTTAATAATGTCTTTAAAATGTAAGTAAAGCTTCCATTCTACTGCTTTCTCTTTGGTAAAATAACATTTAAGTCAGAAAGAGTGGAAAATACACATGAATGCAAGAAAATCTTAGTTCTATGTAAAAACCAATGAGATGGTCCCATGTATTTAGACAAAGTTAGGTTAAATGATATTTTTTTTTAGGCTTGCAAAATGATGGAATCATAGGAAGCTATTACCATGTATATAAAAATGAGAAAAGCAAGTTCGAAGCCCTTTCAAAAAGCAGCCCTTGGGGTGATTTGTGCCACCCAGTTGCTTGTAACCTTTTTTTTTATAGACATGAACTTGTTCTCATGGAATTGCTTTTGTGCTGTGTGCTGTATGGGTTTTGGGTGGATTACTTGTTGCGGTATAAGCACAGAATCTTTTCTCCTGGTAGTAAGATTGTCACTTACCAGTATTTTATATGCCTCTTGCAGATTTGTCTATGGCAATGCAGAAAATCTATCAAACATTTGTAGCTTTAGCTGCACAACTTCAATCAATACATGAAAATGTAAAGGTACGTTGTTTTCATGTGTTCCTGTGTATTTAGTGAAAGAACTGTGAAGAGTCACTTTTTGAACATATATATTCAGGTATTCCTTTTTTATTTTTCCCTTCTGTTAATTAACTGCTTTAAAAATTTTTGGAACTATCCTGGAGAAGTGCTTTGATTGAAAAAGTAACTTCCGTTCAGCTGAAGTCTAATTTGATTTTTTTTACTCATAGGGGTTGATAGCAACTGACCGTAACCATTTAGGTTACAAAATGTTTTTCATTTAACTGGTTTGCCTTTCTAATTGTTGATCAATTTTTTAAATGTCTGTCTTTGAGCTCATGGTTGCGTGTTTTGCTTTGTTGTCTAATAACCTTTTGATCTCAAGCAAAGGTGATCTAAATCTGCTCTTACACAAATAGGGAACAAAAAAGTAGGCATTCATATGGAAGATTTCTTGACATATCAAAGATTTTTGCTGAAAATTGTGTTCTGGCTGGATTAATTTTTTCAACGTGGTTTTCATGGCAAGTCATATGTATGGATAAAGAATACCATGGAAAAAATGCTAATATATCAGAAGGCCTAATTAGGCTTGTTTTTTTCATCTGGGACTTTAGCTTGACTTTCCCATTTACAGTTCTGGACATATTGAGAAAATGTCAGTGTTTTGCAATCTATAATTTTTACTGATCTTCAGAACCCCTTGGAAGAAAAGTGCAAGTGTTTCAGATTGTTTCTGCTAAGTGACTTCCTTAATGGGAATTAATTGGGAATTAACTTACTTGCTTGCACTGCATCACATTGCTTCTGTCAGTGTGGATAGTTGTTGGTTTACAGCTACCTGCCATTAGATGTTGGTGCTGAATTAACTGTGCCGTGGTACCAGATACAGAATATGTCAGCCTCTCCATAATTTCAGCAGAATTACACAAAAAAGGATCCTGAATGTGTTCTGGGCTTTTCACTTCTGAGATCAGAGTATAGCCTCAACTTATGCAGTGGTCTGTGTGATGATACATTTTTTGTTGCTCTTCAGTATGAAGGATTAGCGTGCAGGTAAAAGCAATAGTATCTTGAGTACCTTCTCGGCCTGATTGAATAGGAAAGACTTTACTTCAGCTTAAGAAGTATCCTATTGCCTGAAACAAAAGGGTTGGTTTGAGGATTTTTTTTTTTTTTCTTTTGGAGAAATTGAGATTTAATCTGGACGTGAAGGCTGACATTGTGAAAGACACAATTATTACTAAACCTTCAAAAATAAGGAAATTAATGTACTGCTTACGTGGATCTGTCATTCTGACCATCTATTTTAGTTTATCAGATAGGAGAGGAGAGCAGTTTTGAAACTGCTGTCTGCCTTATTTGATGTTTGCGATATGGTTTGTGAAGGCAGAGCTATGACCACAGTCCATTATTTTGTCTGAAGTAGGCTTTCTGGTTTGCACATATGCTTCGATTCAAAGGTCTGAAGTTACAGAAAAATACGTCCTGAAGCATCTTTGCACAAGGCTAGTTGTTAAATATATTCATATAATGTATGAACATGTAGATACATTCTGTATCCATGGACAGTGAAGAGTAGAATGTGCTTGGCACAGTTCAGGTAGAGAATGTCATTAAATCATTCTGCATAGATTAGTCTTAAGAATTGCTCTGTAATGTCTAATGGCATTTGTCAGTCAGTATGGAGTTGCATTACATCTCATCAGAGTTCTACAGATGTCTTTTATTTTTTTTTTTCCAAAGACAGCACTCCTGGTGTGATGAGTCATTCTTTCTGTGTGTTTCCTGCTGTTGCTGATAGAATTAGGATTACAGCTGTTCAAATCCTGAGTCAGAGTTTTCAGACTATAAGCTTCTCCTCTCAGAACCAAATATATCCTTAGCTAGGAACAGAGGACTTCTGTAAAATTCAATTGAACCTTCTTTGGCTTTAATAAATTTATTACATTTAAAGATTCTCTGTTAGAAGGTGGAAATAATTGAAGCCATTTATTCTTTTTATGTTATCTGAGGTATTCACAGTTCCCTAATCTGTGACAGATAGAAATGGCTCATGATGAACAGGCCAAGCTAGGTGTTCCCACATAAAGTGGGTTTTGGTGGGGAAAGGAGTGGGGGGAGGACTCAAGACAACAGATTCAGGCTACTTGTGTCTAAAGCAGAATTACCTGCATTTGCACTGCATCACATCGTTGATGAAATGCATCGGAAACGAGTGGAATTCTAGAATTCTATTAGTTTCTTTAGCTTTATGTTAAGAAAGAAATACAGGTGAAGGTGAAGAGAGCAAAAGCAGACTACATACAGAAAGGGTAGCACTGAAGAAGAGCGTATTATTTTTATTTTATGTTATAAGCTAGTGATGTGCCTGTATTTTGCCTCTTTGATCAGCTAGTGATACAAATTGAATTGTGCTGATTCACATCAACTGTGAGATTTTGGACTTTGGTTCCATTCAGCATACTGGTCTGTTATGCTTGACTACTTTGCAGAATTTAAGTAAGGAGCTGTTCTGGCTGTAGCTGATGGAAGACAATTCTCTCCAGCTCATGGCCTGACTAGATCCTTTGAGGATGGGGGGGGGCTTTTGTTTTTATCTTTCCTTTTCTTCTTCTTTTTAAGGAAATGTTACTAGTAACTTAGCATCTCTTTCCTTATTAAGTTAAGGTTTTATGTCAAATACACTGAACTAAAATGGCTTCCCCCACCCCCTTCAGATGCTCAAAGACCAATACCTTGGCTACAGGAAAACCTTTCTGGGAGATGCCATGGATGTGTTTGAGGCAAGACGAACAGAAGCTAAGAAGTGGCAGAGCGCGCCACGTGTTACCACTGGACCGACCCCTTTCAGCAACATACCAAATGCAGCAGCCGTTGCGATGGCTGCAACACTTACTCAGCAGCAACAGCCTGCTACAGGTCTGAGTGCATTCAAGTTATAGATTATTAGTGTTACAACAGTAGTAAATTTGTGTAAAATTTTCTATGAAGTCTTCCTTTGTGTTAGACTAAAAATCTCAACGTTGTGATGAGCAAAGTTACTGATACATAGCCAATAGAAAAATGCAGGGTAGACTTAGCAATAATTATACAACAGATACTTAATCTTGTGAATTTACTTGTATTAGTGATATTTACTGTATTGTTCTAACTTACCCCTTTGAATGTGAGTCTTCACTCTTCAGTAACATCTCTGAATAGACATAGTATAGCCTCTTTCCAGAATTGTATGGTTATAGTAAATTATTTCAAAATGGTGAGGAGAGAATATCTAAATGCATATTACCTTTTTCTTATGTAAAATTAATAATGCATTTTTATATAGCACTTTGGAACTGTAAAATGAAAAATGCTGTAGAACAGGAAGGATAGTGGAGCAAACATCTCTAGAGTAGGAAGACAGATGCCTGACATTATTCTATAGCTAACTCCTTTGTCAGGATGGTGTTGGAGCAGTTTTTGCTGGCCATTCTACTGTTGCAAATAAATATTAGAGAAAGTGGAGTGGAGCAGTGGTTCTGTTTGTGCATGCATGTAAGAGGAAGACCAAAACAGAGAAAATGCATCACCCACTGCTAATGCAGAATGGATACATATGGCAAAGGAGATAAATTAAGGCACCTTAGTTGACATTGTTATACTAACCAACACTTTTCAGAGAGCGATTCCTGAATGTAGAGAATTGAATGGATATTTAATCATTTAACAGAAATAAGATAATTTCCATTTGATTTTACTTGAACATAGATACTCATTAAATTATGAAAATCATAGGTAACTTCATTCTACCATCTACTTTCTAAGATGTTTTTTATCATAGGTGTACTGGAAGTCATATTAGCATTTTTTCCATCTCATGTTTTATAGCAGCAGTCATATTTTGAATGGTTTTAATTAGAGACCATGCAGCAACCACCCTAAGTTTGACAAATTATTAGACTGTCCTTGTCTTCTCCATAAAAGGAAAATACAATGTGCTTCCTGCCCTAGCCCTTCTAAACAGCAAGGAGATAGGTTTAAAAGACAAATATGCCAAAATATTTTTAATACAACAAAAAAATTAAGTCTTGATGAAATGTTTTATAAATTTCTGTCATAGACCACAGTCTTCCTGTTGCTGCTATGTTAATCTATGGAAATTTTGTAGAAGTGACATCTGCAAGAGTCTGACTTTAAACAGAAAACATGAGATAATGTAATGTCATGCTTCAGGGTTTTTAATACAGATAGAAGCGTGGCTTGTGCAGCTTAATGTTGCCAAAGTAGTTCCTTCTCCCTTCATATTTTCCCTTGTCTTGTGTTTGTCTTTTTTGAATAGTCTCCATGGTCACTACAGGATTATTTCTATAGGAAAGTCATGTATTTGGAATGTCACATTTGAAGTTATACTTGTAATTTTCATGAAGTGGGGTGAGTGGTTTGAATTTCCTCTTCATTAGTCCAGATTCAAGAGAACTTCAGTAAATTGATGCCAATTCTGGCATAACTTCATGAATATTCTCTTAGAAGTAGGGATGAAGGGGCAGGGGGAAAGGCAGATTTTACCTGTACCAATACACCTGAAGTAAGGTAACTTTGTACCTTGAGGTATTTTGTAGTGAAAGGAGCAAATGGGAGTGTGTGTAGGTTGGTTTTGGGGGTAAGGGTTTTGGTTGATTATTTTGGCAGAGCCAAAAACTACACCAACTACAAAAGTGAGGCAGATAGAACAAAGCCATTAACTCGCCAACAAAAGTAGACAACAATTAGTCTACTTATTGGGCTGGAATACTCTTATCCTCCATGCAACTCACTTGAGGATCTGGAGAAGTAGAGGTAGATTGATGTTTTGAGTGGCACTTCAAGAGTACTTAAAACTCCTAGAAAATAGGGTTAGATGGATCTTGAAGTCATCATTTCTGTTCCTCTAGCTCAAAAGCAGGATTAGTCAGGCCCGAACTATTTCAGAGTTACCTTAAAGTCTTAAAAGCTTGCTAGAAAGGAAAATTTCACAGCTTTCCTAAATGACTGATTTCAGTGCTTGACTTTTTCCGAAGAACTTAGCTGAAACTTCTTAGCTTCAGATTAAGGCTACCACTTTTTGTTTTACTGTTAGTGGAAAAGAAGAATCTATTCTTTCACTTTTTGCAGGAATCTTTAATTATTTAAATACTGTCTCCTCTTTTCTTGAGTTTTCAGGTGGCCATTTGCTGCAGCAAAAGTGCAAATGTTTTAATGTTTTAACCTTGTATTATGTTATGACTGAAACTATCTGCTAGAAGTTAGTCACACATATTTCTTTGCAAGATCTTGATCCTTAAGAGTGGGATAGATGAAGGATGGTAGGAGTTTATGAGAGAAAAGACTATGAAATGAGGTGTATGTAATGAGGGGTAGGGAATGTCTGTGTAATACTTGAGCTGCTGTTGTTGTTCTTGAAGATAAGAATAAAATAAAAAAATTAATCTAGGCTTTAAAGTTTTTGATTAAAATCTAATATACGGTACTCCAGTTATTGAGGGATCAGGATGATTAGTCTCTTTTTAAAAAAAATATTTGATGTTTACATGGTTAAGTCTCTTTCGTAAGATTAAGTTAGAGTTAGTTACTGGTTTTTCTCTGAAAAAGCTAAATAATTTATTTTAAATTTGTGTTCAGAAGTCAAAAAGTTTAGTAGCTACATCAAAACTGTGGGATCAGGGAATGTTTCCCCAGTTCCTGGGTGTAGATATGCACCCTGTTTATGTTCTCTCTGTATGCCAAGACATGTCTGGCTTCTATTGAAATAAAGTCAGTGGGTCCTGGCCATATGGAAGAAAGGGAGCAAAGATGCACTCCATTGGTCTCCTGGGATAGCTAATCAGGACACCAGGACTGTGGTGTGCACACTGGAGCACAATTTTTGTGCGGCTTTTTGAAGCTAGATTTATTATCATCATGCTTAAGTCTTGCCTGCACACAACCTTTCTCCCTAGTTTAGCACTTTGCTCTGAGCACAGCTTTATTGGTAGCAGTGAGGCTGGTCATGCTTTGCGCAGTAGCAGCTAGAGTTTTAACCACTCCCTCACCTTCACTTTCCCTGAGCAATCTTGAGCAGTGTGGAAGTTAAAATGATGGTGGCTAGTCTACCTATTATTATTGATGGGACTGAAGTAGAAGATTTTAAAGGAAACTAAAGCCTGGTGAATTAAGAGCTGTGAATGCGTGAGGCTGAAATGGATGTTTTTCTGGTGAGATGAAGATGTCTTAAAGAAATGCTTTTCTTCAAGCTCACCTTTCCTCCTCTTAAAAAAAGTAACTCCACAGCAACTTAGTTACTCTCTCCTTGACTTGTGAAGTGCAGTTAGTCAAAGCATTATCAAGCTATTAACACACTTTGTTATGCTTTGACTTAGTATGAGATTGAAGTGCTTGTGGGAAGGGATACTGAAATCTTCATAGCACTTAATTTTTATTGTGTAATTTGATATTAACTTTGGTTAAAATTCGTCAGTGTGTTACTGTGTCAGAATCAGATCTAAGTTGTGACATTAAATTTGTTCACTGTTAGGACCAGCTGTGATTTCAAAAAATTGCAGATTGTCACTTTAGGAAATCTGGCTGACCTGTCTGGGCTCATTGTAGTGGGTCCTGTTCATTAAACTGAAATGCTCTACAGGGCAAATATATCTATATCAAGTTTTAAAATGTTAAAATACTTGTTATAATGAATTTGTCTCGTACCTATAATAGCCAGAAGTGCCACTTTTTTTTTTTTTTTTTGCTAATACTTTTGGCGTTGAAGAATCTTTATTACTAGTTTTTTGCTATTGAAAATTATGTTTACTTACAAAAACTGTAAGTAGTGATGATGCCTTCAGAACATTATGGTACAAAATCAACAAATATCATATGCTGTTGCTCAATGAAAAGCTTGTTAGCCTAAAGCGTAAGATCTGCTTTATGTGATCTGAGGTGTTTTAGAGTAATATTTTTTACTGGCTCTAAAAAAATGTTGCATTTGGTGAAAAGCTTTGCCTGGAGGACTGTATTGTTTTGTTTTAAGGTCTTCCACTAACAGTGCCTCCTACTGAGATAGAAACCTGTGCACCTGAGAAGGAACTGGATATCTGTTCTGGGGTTCTTCTAGTTTGTTAGATGACTGACTTGTGTAGGTTTTTTTGTTTCTTTTTATTGATAACAATTTTCTTACTTTTAAAGAGCTGCTAGGTAGGTGTATCAGTATTTAAACTGGATGTAAACAAGTTTAGTTTGAAATTTATGGGAAAATTTGTAATTGCAACATCTGATATACTTTTTAAATTGAAAAATTAGTTTGGGTTTCCCAACCGTTCCCTGCTAAGCAGAGAGTGAAAGCTAACAACTTTAGTTGCCCTTAAAATTTAGTTTAACACTACTTTGGAGAATACAGCTGTCCTTCAGCTTGGATCACATAAGAATATTGTGTTCCTAGCAGAAATGTTACTTTCCAACATACAGTGCCTTTCACTTGATTCAAAATGATTTTCCATTTAAATCTTCAAATACTGAAGTGATTTTAAAAGCTGGTAATATTTACATTTTAAAACTCTAGATAAATATTGGTAACACGAAACTTCATAGTATGAAGAAATCTTGAATGAAACTAAGCCCAAATGTGATAATGATTTAGGAAAAAGACTGAAGTTATTTGGGATTGATAGTAGTATTTGAATAAATCATCACTTTCACAGATATAATACATGAAGTATGTTCAAAGATGGAGAAGGCTATTTTGAGGAAAGGTGTGAATGTCTGTGGATTAAGAGTTTGGCACTGTATTTTATCCTCAATGGTTAAACTTTTTAACTAGTGCACTGAAAACTGTTTGAAAAAGACAGAAATATAAGATTGTACTGTGAAAACTGTTGAAATATATTATTTATCAGAAGTAATTTTTTAAAATGTGTTAGTAATGGGCTAGCAAGTTAATTCTTTATTCCCCAAATTAAGAGGGGGGGCGGAAAAGGAACAAAGGAATGAGGCTGTAAATTTCATTTTGGCAGACTGAAAGTGGTTTTGACAGTCCTGCATTTTAGTGTGAATATGCAGGGAAAGTACTGTCAACTTTAATTATGGGACAAACTCTGACTCTGAAATTTTGAATGTATCTAATTCATTAAGGTACACAGAACTGTGCCTTTTGTAAATGTTTATTTAAACAGGTGGTTTGACTAGTTTACCTTATTGAATGGTGTTATGTAGCAGAGCTTAACAGAACTCCGTTATTACTTGTGTGGAAAAGAATTGAATTGTCATGTTACTGTGTAATTGACTTGCTTAAAAATGAACAATAAATTTAATAAAATAAAGTCATTGTCTTGTTTTTTATCTTAGTGTTCTGTTTAAATTTGGATGGAATACTTGAGTAGTTTTGAAAATTCCTATTTATTAAATTAACTTTTGGTAATACAGCTTTAATTATGTGTCAGTTATTACCTTTTTAATTCATAGGTTTTCCCTTATTCTGATTCCGTAGTATTGTTACCTATGAGTTCTCTCAAGGTTCTGATTAATGTTTTAAAGTTAAGGTGAGACTGGTTAACTTTTAAAAATACTAAATGATGTTGTGCTATTAGCTTTGACTAGTTTCACCTTATTAAAATCAGTGGTTTAGCTTTTTACCAGGTGGATGTAGGGGCACACAGTTGAGGAATTTTGATGAGGTTTGAGATCTTAACGGGGTTTGTCAAAAACAATGATGTTCACATTATCAAATACTTGAATAAATAAATAAAGGATCTCTTTACTATGAAAGAGTAAGGCAAGTTTGTTCTCGTTTTTTTTATACCAGGGCCACAGCCATCTCTGGGAGTTAGTTTTGGAACGCCATTCGGCTCAGGTATTGGCACTGGCTTGCAATCAAGTGGCTTAGGTTCTTCAAGCCTTGGAGGTACACTTTAACTTTTCTAATCTTTCATTGAATTATTATACCGCACATCTTAATCTCTTGCACTAAGAGGATGATCTCTTTCAGGGAAAGACCTTAAAATTTGGTAATCTGCACTTTCCAAACTTCTTCATCCCTTGCAGAAGGAGTTGTTAAGGCTAATAAGCACAGAATGAACAGGATGAAGTAATCTCACAGAAGTTCTGTTCTTAAAGCTAGGGAAGTACATCAAGTACATCCTTCTGTAATTACATCTTGACTTAATTTTACATATATGAAAGGCACTCAAGACACTGGATCATGCTGTAGCTACTCCATGAAAGTTTTTCACGTGTATGTACAATTTTTAACTATAGGGATCCATTTCTGCTTGGAGTAAGATAAGAATAAATGCTAAAAAATTACTACAGTTCTGGGATCCTGCTGGCTGAAGCATGCTTGCGTTAGCTTTCACACTGAGGTGGAAAAGAAATCCCTCTTAAAGCCGAAAAAGTGAAGGGAAGTTACTTATCAAAATGTTAACAGTGCTGATGGGGAATGTATTGCAAGAGGATGCATGTCTGTAAAAGAGTAGGTGGTAATAAAATAAAAAAGTATGTAGACCTTTTAATTTAAATGTAATGAATTCTCAGTAGTAGAACTACAAGTAGGATCTCTGTGACTAGTAACATCTAATCTGTGTGTAAATTTCCAGTCTACGTAGGTCAGGGGTTCCTACAGTGCAAGTCAGAAGACACTAGTGAGTGTCCTCTGAAGCTCTTGTATGAGATCTGCAAAGGAAATTGTTATATCTGCTGAGCACAAGCATAATGTGTTGTGGGTTTTCTTGCTATATCCTCTCCTCTCTGCAGCCTCAGTCCACATCCCTAAATTTTTACCTCTTGGTGAGCTGAACATGTGAATCAGTGTTGTAATGTATTTAAAATAATTATGCATCACTTTATCGGAAAGATGATGTAACTTAAATCAATTTTATCTTAAATGGTCATCTTGAAATTATTCTTAAATCTACCGATATCCTTTCTCATCAGATTTTAAGGTTTTTTTTCAGATAAAAGAAAGTCTGTACACCTAAACAGGAAAAATAACTGAGAATAGTGGGGTAAAAGGAAAGTATTTCTGAATTATGAGGTCATTTCCACAATATTTTAAATGCCTTATAAAAAAAACCCATAAAAATCTTCCTCTTCAGTCATAGAGGTTGGCTAGATTGGTGAACATATATAAACAATCTACAGTCTACAATGTAAATTAAAGCACACTTTCTTTTAAATGGATGGACAACTGCTTCTGGTTTTGTCTTAGAGGCCTAACTTTTGTTCTTTTTTTTTTTTTTTGCTAGTTCTCTGGTTGGGAAGGTATTTGTTTGCATTTCACCTGTTCTGTGTTAATTTGCAAAGTTTTAGTCTTTTGGACTATCTGATAGAAGTAAATGCAGAAGAATAAAGGAATACATGCCAACTGTCCTGTAGGTGTGCTCTTGGAAACAAATTGGCAGAATAGGTTTTTTTTTATTATTTTTAATTTTTAATCTTAGGAATTTTTTTTAACAGGGATATTTTTGATGTGTTCTCTTGAAATATGATTTTAACTGGGAAAATTTGCTCTTTCCGTGATACTCTGTAATTTTATTTTTTTTTGTCAGTGATGAACACAGGCTTTTACATTTAAGTATATAAGATGTGTAACATATAGATTCTATGCTTCATTAAATATTTGCAGTCACCTTGCCCTGGCCATTGGTAAATAATTTCAAGTTAGGTGGAACAAAGAGTGTATCGTTTAAATAAACTATCTTGCATTCAGATGATACTTGCCATTATATACCCTTAAAACTTATTTAAATACTGTGGAAGACAGAAGAACACTGCTTCAGATAGTGTGTTCAATCCTTATTATTTTTAAAATCTAAAAATTACTTCTATGAAGAAATGGTAAAGTCTCAGTTTTCAGTAAAATACAAGTATTTTCTCTGACACGTGAAACTGAAGTTGGGGGCATGATTTCCTTAAATACAAATACTGTTCTCTTTACGAAAACCTCTTGAGACAGCCAAAATTGGAGAATATATTTCTGTTCCTGTCTGGCATCCATCTCAAACTGCAAATATCAACTTACTTTTCCTTTGAAGGGGTCTCGTATTAATAATACAACCTGAAATAATGAAATTTATACTATGAAATTATAAATGTCAATTACAAAATTAACAGAATTAGTTTTAGTACAGCTGTGTGTTTATGGCTGCCCTTATGTGATGATCTTTCTCATTAAATATTGTGAAACTTTGTTCTGTATTTAACCTATTGTGGTTTCTTCCTAAAATGAAGAAAATCTTTACTCTGTTTTAAACACAGAGAATTACTCTTTTATCATGGATGAAGATTACAGCTGTTCGAAATAGAACTCATAGCCTGTGTCTGCATTTTCTTAATTTTGGCCCATTTAGTTACCATTTTCTTGCCAATTTAACAGCAATTCAATAGCAATTTCATAAACTGTGACCGTTTACTCACCTGTTTTTGTAGGGGGTTTTTTATAGGTTTTCCTTTACTTAGTTCTATATTTTGTGGGATGTATTTTTCTCCGATGCTCTCCTGTTTACACTGTTTTCTTAACACAGTGCTCTGTTGAGAATAAAACTCTTGAGACAATCTTAGGAATATTTGCTTACCAAATAAGGCTTAGAATTCTATTTGGTTTTAGTATACTTGGCCGAAACATATGTGTCTTTAATTGCCGTGCCTGTAATTTTTTTTGTTGTATGTCTTTACTGTTATTCTACTAGGATTTGGAAGTAGCTCTGCCTTCGGAAGTGGTGCCACAGGAGCATCATCATTCGGGTTCGGAACTTCAAGTAAACCATCAGGAAGTCTAAGTGCAGGTTGGTTTCTTTCTCTTGAATTCAAGTTTATCTCAAAGCAAAAGTTATAATCAAACTGATGCAATCAAATCTAAGCTACTGAAACAAATGCGCTTAAAGTTGCATGTGTATGTAACCATTAAAGAAACTACTTACTTGCTAAATACACGTTTTTAGAGAAGTTTTTAGGGTTCTGCTAAGGGTGTCCTAGGTAGACAGTATTACTGTTTCCTGTTTGACGGTATTTATCTAATTAGGAGTGGAAGCAGAAAAGCAGATGCATGAGGTTGGATCAGATACAGTGTGAGGCACAGAAATGCAGTTACTGCTTGACTTCATAGGCTATACAGTTACTGACCTGTTGAAATTAACATAGTAATTTGTGACAAATACAGCAGTAATTCGGCTTCCTGTATTTACAAGTAAAGTTAAAATTACTGTTTAGAAGCCCAGGTTTCCTTAAAAGTTTATCTGCTTATCCTTTCTGTTTGAATAGTAAATTATAGGTATTGTATCTCTGTATATATCCATAATTCATTGATCTAACTGCTTAGAAAACATTTCTGTAGCAAATGAACTACTTCACTCATTTTGCTTTTTTTGTTTAATTTTGTTGGTTGTGAGAAAGTGAAAATAGAGATGCAATTACTCCTTAATTCAGATTTCTGAAATCTTAGTCACTTTTATAGCTTGCATCTGAGGCAAATAGCTTCCTGTAGTCTGTTTTACAATCCTTCTTCAGTGACAGATAGAAGTATTGTGTTTCCTGGGATTGGCTTTTGGTAGTATGTTTCTTTTTTTAAAAGCAAAATGTTTTTTAACTGCTATTAATGCAAACATAGCAAATGACTGGTATTTATTAGTATGTTAGCTTGGATGAACATCTCGTTAGTTGCCATGCTTTTAATTTGGTTTTGTTTTTTCCTTCGTTAGTGATGTGTTAGGCTTTCAAATTAGACCTGTAAAGTACCTTAAGCTTTGTATTGTAAGGCGGAAATAGCTTAATAAGCTGGCTGTATAACATACATGAATGTGTAAATTCTTGACAGAACATGTCTGATTTTGCAGTTTGCAGTGTCTAAACATCAACCTGCTTTTGCTTATTTTTTTTAAATATCAGAAACAAGTGAAAAACACTGCTTACATTTTCATCTTGTAACTCATTTTTCCTGAGCCTATATTGAGTTATAGTTCCATAAATAAAACTGCTGCATTTCAAGCTTCTGAGTTATGAAGCAAATAATTTTCATATATTAAAAAAATATAATTAGAAAGCTAGTTGTATGGATCAGTTGTCCACCACTAATGAGGTATCAAATCAAAGTAAGTAGCAATTCTGACTTAGCTAACTTGGTGGTGTGCAGAGATAATTTAGATTTCATTTCACTGTATTCCTCAAACCAGGCTTTGTCATGGTGCCAATGCCCCCAGTCTCTCTTTAGCAGTGAAGGACTTGGATCCAATAAAATTAAGATTGTTTTCAGTTATCTCTAGAGTCTCAGTACAGAAGATGGTAACCAGGAGTATAAATGATTAAATGTCATTCCTGTCATTTTGTGCTTATAAAATAAAGCGGTCATGAAATCCTGCTCTAGACTGGGATTATGGACTAGAAACCTCCACCGAAAAATGGTAGCCCCAAAGCACATTAACTTCTACCTCTTATATCCAAAAATCCAGTGCCATATAGATCTGGATTCCGTATGATCTCTAGTTTAGTTTTATCAAGGGTGTATAAATGGGTTTGAATTGATGCCTGAAGCTAGCCTGATTATATGTATTTTTTATTTAATGTGTCCCATTTCTGAGAGAACATTTACAGGATCCTGGAACAATATTCTGCTTTGTGTTATCATACGATAGTTGTATCTTGTTTCTGAATCTTTTTCTTGAAAAAGCTAGGAAAATAGAGTGAATATGAGTTATGAGACACTCTGAATACAATCCATGTGTAACTGAGCAGCTTTTAGATACAAAGGCTATAGGAAATCAATCTCTTTTTCATTCATGAGACTCCCTGGTGCAGAACAAGTTTATTCTTCTGAAAATCTTACTTGGGATTTAGAATTTGCAGGGGAATGTGGGAATAGTTGCATGTGCTTCATTCCTTATATACTAGGATGAGAGACAAATTAGTCCACAAAATTTAGGCAAGACCCAAATGAACAATGTCATTATAGTCACACTTGAGATCTGCATGTCCATTACGTTGACAGTAAGTTCTGCACAGGCATCTGCGTGTTGAAGGACTGCACTTGTTGGAATGTAGATAATGGGGAATTTTCTTGACAAGATGATGTCATATGTAACCCAGGTGCAGGCATTGCAGGAGGAAGAGCTTCACATTGTTTCGAAGTAATTCTTGATGCAAAGAATCAGTAGCAAGTGAAGACATCAGGCTTGTGAGAGCCACTTTGGAATTCTGGTGGGACAGCCAGTTGGGTTTTGATTTCTGTGCTTTAAAAGTACATAGGCATTGAGCTAGAGATGCTGATGGATTGCTTTAACTGTCTCTGCATTAAGTAATGTTTATTGAGAATATACCCTTTTTTGCTTGTGAATCAGTCCCATTTTTTTCTTAATCTTTCTAATTCTTTACAGTCCATGGCAAGGGGATTGGAACTAGGTGATCTTAAGGTCCTTTCCAACCCTAACCATTCTACGATCCTGTTATTCCATTTTCAACTTGTATGAAACTATTTGTTAAAAGCTCATGTCATACTAGTTATTTCATATGATTGGCTACCTGACTGGGTTTCTTGAGAGAACAGACAGTGGAGTTACAAAGTTCTGCTACTTATTACCTAATATTTGAGAAATTTCTAGCATTCTCTAATAGTTTCAATTGTTATCCAAGTTGTTTGTGCAAAACTGATATAAACTCCAAAAGAAAGTAAAATGAGTTGGTTTTAGCATTGCTGAAAATAGTAGGCAGATTTTCCTCAACTCGTTTTATAGCTGAACCAAATGTTCAATTTGTTTGCTCTGATAGGAGAGAGTGGAGAAGTTAAAATAGCACGATTTCCTCACCTAGCCATTCAGTTTTTCCAAAGCTTTGTTTTCGATGCTGCTTTTTGGTTTAAGTCATAGAAGTTGTTTTTAAATAACAAGAATTTGGCAAGGATTTTGAGCCTTTTCTGGCTCTCATTTACAGTGTGGTCTGTGCCACATAAAGACAGGCAGAGGTAGCCTATCAGGAGGGCACAGTGTTGGGAGCTCCAACCCCAGCTTTGCCATTTACCTGCTGTGAGTGAAGTGTATGGGCCATGGTCTGCTTGTACTTCTGCTTTCCCTCCCACCTTATGTACACAGTATGTATTTAGGCTGAGAACTTGAAAAATTATGATTCTGGTATTGTACAGTTTCAGTGAGACTTTTGAGTGCTACTGTTGTAGTGGTATAAGACTTGTGATTTAGGATATAGTTGTTTACAACCACTGAGGTAGACTGTGTTAGTGCTCTAATATCCAAGTTGTCACAGCAAGTCAGGTGTGTTAGCGATGTAGCATACTGTCACATATCCATGTTAGTATAAAATGTTACAAATGTGGGTGATAAAGTGGCTGGTGTTCATAACTCCAAGGAGAGCAAGCTTGCAGTCCTGATATAGCTTACATTTTAAAATATTTTTTCCTCCCTCATAAGGCTTTGGCAGCTCGACTACATCTGGGTTTAACTTCAGCAATCCCGGCATCACAGCATCAGCTGGCCTGACATTCGGGGTATCTAATCCTGCATCTGCAGGCTTTGGGACAGGAGGGCAGCTTCTTCAGCTGAAGAAACCTCCAGCTGGAAACAAGCGAGGGAAAAGATAGGCACCCCTAATGGGAAGGGGAAGTGAATCAACTTTGTTCATCTGAAAAGTCTATTTTTCTAGATTGATGCATTGATTCAATTGCATCCCAGGAGATTTATAAAAGTTTTGCTACTTTTCCCTAGTCTGAAATACAAAATGAAATCATATTGAACAGCTATTTTCTTGTGAATAGAAACTCGTTTATGTATTTTTATTTTTAGCCCTAGTTTTAGAAATGTTCTATACTGCATTATTATTAAAGAATCTTGTAAAACCATCTATTTAACCTAATGTTAGTAGCAGAATATTTTTTGTTAATAAGCTTTATACCATAAGAATATATGCATATTTGGTTTTTTGTACAGATAAAATATATTCTAGTACAAATACTAGAGTTCATATCTTCTGTTCCTGGATATGGCCTTTAAATCTACTTCAGGGTGTTTTTGTGTATATGGATGTAAATATATACAGTACAGTGCACACATCTGTGTGTATATGTATGTGTATATATATGTATAAAATACAGATGTGCAAACCTTGCCCAGACAGGTCTCCTTTTCTTTGTGTGTTCTGTTTCTCCGTGTTGCCCCATGGTCCTGCATCTTGATGTTCCTAGGAATTTCAAATAGTGACTGGGCTATGTCATCATTGCTTCTTGTGTTTTGTTGTTTAAGACCAGCTGAAATACAATGTTTACTATTTCATAAAGTTTGGTAAATAATGGTTAATAGCTGGATTTTTTTAACCTTTTTCTTGACCCATTTAGCAGCCAACTCTAAAGAAGAATCCAAGATTTTGGCTTGGACATTTCATAGGTAATGTTCCCAAACTGTTTGGTTTTGGTTTTTCTTGGAGCTGAGCAGTAGGGCATCACAGCATTTCAGCTGAAATCTCAGGATGCCACATGGTTTGTGTGCAAGCAGGGAGTTGTCAGCCTGGATGAGCTTTTCCCTGCAATTGGAGGGGTTAGGATATATGCTATTCTAATGAAAACCTGAATTAGCTGTTACAAACCAGAGTTAATTCACTAGCTGATCATCAGCTCTACTAGCATTGACTTGAGAGCAGTTGCATATCTGCTTTCAGTACAAGGTATAGTACAATAAGTTGCTGCTAAAGACTGGAGGATGAAAATGATGTAATTTGAAGGTTAAAGCTATTGCAACAGCAGTTGATGAACCTTGCCTATTACAATATCATAGCTTGTTGTGCTGCATCTCAAATTTGGTGTGCACTAGAAATAGCTGTGAAAACATCTTAAGGAGGAAATAATAATCAGTTGAACCTTTGCAAATAAAGATACAGGTTGAAGTGTGAACATGAAACTTTGGAGCCAAGTTGCTTTTTATGTAGATGATGTTTTGTATATAACATGCATCCAATGAATATTCACAGTCATTTTCACAAAAGCACCTTTTCTTCTAAAACAGTTATAGTGCATACAATTTTTCTAGTACTAAGTCATTTGCTTTCTCTTAAAGTGTTATTACCATTTTGGAAATGATGTTTGCATTCGGCAGTGATTGCTCTTTGACAAATGTTCAGTTTGTCACTTGATCTGATAAAATTAAGGGAAACTGAACACAGAATTCTTCACTTTTGTAATTGTATGTTATTGCATCTTTGTGAGCAGCCTCTTAGGAAGGGATATAATGTGGGGTTTTTATGTCTCTGAAAAATAAAGCTTTCAGTTTATTTGGATTTCAACCCTTTTTAAAACTGTCGTTGGGCTGCAGTCAAAACATAATGTTTGTATTCCTTATTGGTTTTTTTAATAGTTAATATGTTAAACCACTGGACTCTCTTGTAATGTATTAATTTGTGAAAATAATTCTAAATGTGTACTGTTTGTCCATATGTGCAACTTAGCATTGTGCAAACAATAAAACAATAATGCTGTGATCCTTGTAATACATATTTGCCTGTTTGAAATAGTTTCCTGTTTTCCACCTGTGCTACAGGAGAAACAAAAGCATCATTAGCTAATATGTACAATTGCTTTTCCTAGAATTTATATAGTGCAAAATTGTTCTTACTGAAGTTAGGTCCTTGGTCTCTGGGTCGAAGGGTAGGGGAGGTGAATGGAGGTATTGTATTGTGGGTTTGTCTAGAATCTCTTCACAGTGTGCTGTATAAACCTGGATCATGCTGTAATATAACACAGCACTAGGCATGGCTTTGGAAATTCAAAAAACTCAAAAGCAGTCAGAGCCTTCTAGGTACCCATGCTCTGTTTCTTTTCACATGAAGGCAACAATTATGTCCTTAATTTACCCTAAGTGAAAAAGTGATTGTGTAGAATAGCCATATGCTGGAGTACAAACTTAAAGTCAAAATGGGATTTGAAATAATTATATTCCCAGCATATTACTTGGGTGGTTGATTTTAGCCATGATTTTCAGGGATCAACATTGGTATATGCTATGTCAAAGGATACTGGTTTTTTTTCCCAATTTAGAGACATGTAATTAGAGTGCAAAATACAAATACATTCAAGGTATGGCTCTTCTGAACCTAAACACCATGAAATGAAATCAAGTCTGGATTATTTGTTCTGTAAAGGAGGAAAAATATGTACCAGAGGGGAGGGAGGAGGTTCAAATAAGGTGCAGTCAGAATAGAGTTTATGTATCTTCCTTGCCACAGGAAATCCAAATCCAGCTGTACACCCTCCATCTATGTATTCATAACTGCATTTTGAACATCAGTTGCATTTATGGCATCATTTTAAAAATGAAAACAAAGTTCAGGAAGAGGCTTAATGGCCTTTTTTTCCCCTCTTTGTCAGTGATAATTCTGATTTTTCCCAGTTTGCAACTCATGTTAATAGTAGGAAAAAATGCAGAGTGAGACATACTGGCTCTCACATGTTATTAGTTTTAGTACTTGGAATGTCTCAGCAGAAGATACGAAGGAAGCACCTTTTAGGTTCTTAGTGAGAAATTCAAAGTAACTATATAGAAAAACCCATCTATGCTGTTTAGTGTAAATAACCTATGCTCTATGAAAGTTTGTTTCCCTAAAACTCTTATTTGAGTTTGTAAGATCAAAGAACTGGCTGTGCGCAAACCTTTCCAGTGATAAATTGGGCAGGTTTTGGACCAACTGCTGGGATTGTGCTGTCAGGTGCTTTCCCTGTTCCCTCTCAGTAAGTGCCTTACAACACTGGCTAGTATCTCCAGACACTGGTGGATGGTTGAAGTATCACAGTAGTAGATTTTGCAACTTCCCATGAGGATGAGCAGTTGGGCTTGGGGAAGGCAGTGACACTGAGATGATGCCTGCAGCAGCTCTGGGAGGCAGCAGTTACCCACTGCCCATGGAGCTTTGACCCAGCTGTAACATGCAGTGTCCACCCGGCCAGACAGGTTGCTTGAAAGGAGGATGGAGGTGGTGAGGGGGGAGGAGAAGTGTGGGGAGAGATGAGGGGATGTAGAGCACAAGGCTTCCTACTGTGAACAGGACAATTCGTTTTAAATTCAGTTTGGGGTCATTTCTTCTGAACTGAATATTGACTGTTCATATGCTGGTATTCTTGTAGTTCCAAATCAACAGTTTTTAATGGAATATTTTGTATTGGCTGAATGTTGCATTTGGTAGAAATAGATTATTGTAGTAGTTTCATTTTCTACATGCTTGACATTTGTTTACCTTGGGCGGTTGCGGGGATCATAAATTAACTCCATAACCAAAGAAATAGAAAAACAGATATAAAATTAAGGAGTTCTATCAGGATTCTATTAGCTCTGTGGAGAACGGTGCTTTCACCAGGTGGCAGGAGGCTGCCATTACATGCTGCCACTGCAAAGCCCTTCCAGGTGTAGCTGTTGTCATGCAGTATGTGTAGAGAAATGGTCAGCAACCTGCTACAGCACTTAGACACACACAGGTCTATGGGGCTGGGTGGGACCCACCCAAGGGTACTGAGGGAGCTGGTGGAAGTGCTCACTGAGCCACTTCCCATCACTTACCAGCAGTCCTGGCTAACTGGGGAGGACTTGGCTGGAAGTAAGCAAATGAGACACCCATCTACAAGGGGGCAGAAGGAGGATGCAGAGCACTACAGGATCCAGGCCTGTCAGCCTGACCTTGGTGCCAGGGAAGGTTATGGAGCAGATCATCTTGAGTGCCATCACAGGGCATGTATGGGACACCCAGGTGATCAGGTCCAGTCAGCATGGGTTTATGAAAGGCAGGTCCTGCTTGACTAACCTGATTTCCTGCTATGGCGAGGTTGATGAGGGGAAGGCTGTGGATGTTGTCTACCTGGGCTTCAGTAAAGCATTTGACACTATTTCCCACAGCGTTCTCCTGGGAAAACCGGCAGCTCATGGTTGGATGGGTGTACTGCTTGCTGGGTAAAACACTGGCTGGATAAAACACTGGCTGGATGGCCAGGTCTGAAGACTAGTGGTGAATGAAGTTAAATTCATTTGGTGGCTGGTCACAAGGTGATCAGGTCCAGTCAGCATGGGTTTATGAAAGGCAGGTCCTGCTTGACTAACCTGATTTCCTGCTATGGCGAGGTTGATGAGGGGAAGGCTGTGGATGTTGTCTACCTGGGCTTCAGTAAAGCATTTGACACTATTTCCCACAGCGTTCTCCTGGGAAAACCGGCAGCTCATGGTTGGATGGGTGTACTGCTTGCTGGGTAAAACACTGGCTGGATAAAACACTGGCTGGATAAAACACTGGCTGGATGGCCAGGTCTGAAGACTAGTGGTGAATGAAGTTAAATTCATTTGGTGGCTGGTCACAAGTGGTGGTCCCCAGGGCGCAGTATTGGTACTAGTTCTGTTTAATGTCTTTATCAATGATCTGGATGAGGGGATCGAGTGCACACTCAGTAAGTAAGTTTGAAGATGACACCAAGTTGGCTGGGAGTGTTGATCTGCTGGAGGGTAAGAAGACTCTAATGAGGGATTTGGACAGACTGGATCAACGGGCTGTAGCCATTGCGTTTGGGCCACAACAACCCCACGCAGTGCTACAGGCTTGGCCACAACAACCCCACGCAGTGCTACTGGTTTGAGAAAGAGTGGCTGGAAAGCTGCTTGGCCGAAAAGGACCTGGGGGTGCTGATTGACAGAGCTGAACATGAGCCAATTTGTGCCCAGGCAGCCAAGAAGGCCAGTCTGAACTGCTGGCCTGTATCAGCAATACTGTGGCCAGCAGGGCCAGGGCAGTGATCAACCCCCTGTACTGGCACTGGTGAGGCTGCACCTTGAATCCTATGTTCAGTCACTCACTGCATGACAGACACTTTGGTGCTAGAGCAGGTCCAAAGAGGAGCAACGAAGTCGGTGAAGGGTTTTTGAAGATCTTTTTCCAACCTCATGATTCTGTGTCACTTCTTTTTTTTCCAGGTCATTCACATTTTCTTACTTTTTTGTTTAAGGTAGAAGGATTTTGTTAAACTTCAGTGTTCGAACGATCCTTCTGACCTATTTGCCTCCAGTTGCTATGAGGTTTATTACTTAATTCTTTTTTACTCAGTGTCAGGATTTTAACCTTTGTAGCCCATCGCTGCCATTGAAGT